GGGGGTGGGGGTGGGCGGGGAGAAAAGTGCATCAATGAATGAATGGAATTCCAAAATCTCTGTAGATGTTCATTGAAATTAAAAAAATAAATAAAATAAAAAAAGAATTAAAAAGACCTAAGTGATGTTGAGTGTTACATGTTGAGCAGCTAATCAGAAGGTGAACAATTTGTGGGTGCTCTGTCTTTGAAAGATGAATATGTAGTTTCCTCCCAGAAAAAAAAAATTCACAATCTCTCAAACTAGATAGAAAATCAACATAAGTCAGAATCTACTCAACAGTGGTGGGGTTAAATCGCAGCATATTAGATAAGACACAAAGAATCATCAACCTGTTTCTATCATGTTGAGTTCATCAACATGATAGTACCCTATATGGGAACCCTATAAGGGAACCCTAAATGGGAACCGCATATGGAAATAACAATCTACCTCTCCCTGTAGGTTACTCTGAGGGTGTTGCCACCATGGAGCCCAGCACCTAAGTGTGACTCATATCATTAATAAAATTAAGAAACTCAAAGGCCAACTGTACATTACACAAAACTGTATACAAAGTAAGACTAATGCGTTTGATATTCTGCCAGGTATGATGCCGAGGTACTTTGAATTGTCACTGGTGTCAAGTCAATTCTATCTCAGTCACCCTCTGTCAGGTTTTAGACGTTGTGAATGAGAAGAGACTGTTCATCTTTCTCCCAAGAGATTTGAACAACTGACTGTTTAGTTAGCAATGCAACTTGGGATGCCCCACACCATCGGAGCTTTAAAAAAACTGATCTTGGCCTCTGAGCCTAGAGATGCTGAGTATCCCAAGCTCTGAGTGGGTTAGTGGTGAGTGGTAAGTGGTGAGAAGTTCATCCGCTGTGGATGAAACTGTAGGGAATTTAAGAGAGGCTGGCGTATTCTAGAAATGTTCCCTTATCACTCCACGAGGCATCCCTGAGTTGATTCTGACTCATGACCGCCCTCGTGTGGCAGATTAGAACTGTGCGCCGTCTGCTTTCCACTTCCCCCCCAGTAGATTGTCAAGTCTTTCTTCTGCCTGGATTTGAGCCTGCAACCTTCAGATTAGGAGCTAAGCATTTTAACCATTTCCCCTACCCAAAGATTCCCAGATAAGCCTAGTTTCTTACTGATTCTCATGTTGTTAAATATCCAGATGTTTTTCCATTTTCTTAATGATATCACACGGACACAGTACTATAAAAGAGTCGTTTTTCTTTTTTCCACATTTAAATTTTTTTGTGTGTGGTAAGAGTGGATTATGTGTGTATAAAACAAATGAATAATGCATAAAGGAATTAGTATACTGTTGAAATCAGTCCACTACTATTATTCTGATACACTTGTTTAATTTAATTTTCTTGGCCAAAATGTATTTCCGTGACAAGCCTTTGTTCAGTTACTAAGTTTGAAAGCATGTCTTAAGTCCACAATGTCAATGTTAGCTTGATTTTCTTTCGAAGGGGTATTGTCAATGCAAGCTTCATGTTGAAGGCCCCACTTGTAGTGCCTGTAAACCATTATATTGGAATCTGGCCAAGGAAAATCCCAATGGCTGCACAGGTAAGACTTCCTCTCCGCCACACCTTGCTGTATTAGCTTCCTCTTCATTTTCTCTGTTCAGTGGCTACATTTACAAAAGGCCTATTTATGAGTCCATGTTTCTGACATTCTGTGTCATAAAAAAATTGATATCCCCTTTCCATGTCTATTTTGGTGTTTGTTAAGGCAGCTCCCTGATAGATGGCTTTGTGATACATTTCTTGTTTACTTTTAGGGAGCTCTGGGGGCACATTGCATGGGGAGTTTATGCTGCTAACCTAGAGTGACCCTCTCTCCTTTAGTTTGAATCCATCAGCTCGTCTGAGGGAGAAAGATGGGCAATCTCTTCTCATATCGTCTCTAAAACCTGCCGGAGGGTCAGCTAAGAGTCCGAGGCCATGAGTTGATTTGTTTTAATTAATTGTAGTGTAATTTTACGCTAGGATTTTAAGCCAGGATAGGAACTTAAAAGCACAAAGATGAAGGTGTTGTGTGAGTGTCCTTGAGTGGACCATGTAACCACCTCTGTAAGCGTCCCACTGAGGCCGTTGACGCTAGAACCTTCTAAGCACTTCGTGCTGCTGCAGCTTTTATTTTGGAATGGCCAGAAACTAGCAGTTATTCCCAGTGCATGGAATTTTACACAGTATTGATCTGTCTGTTCTGTGCATCTTGGCAGGCAATCCAATTTTAGGCACCAGCAGCACACACCATAATTCTGCTGAATTGTACTCGAAAGGGTGCATGCGTGGTATTGCAGGCGGGTGGAGTTCCCAGAAGTGGGGCCTTGTCCTCATGCAACCCTTGCTTGTCTTCACAGCGTGCCAGTGTAACTTGGTGGGAACTGTGAGTGGAATTGGAGAATGTGGGCAGGTAATGTGGGAAGACTTTTCATACAATAGCAATATTGAAGGGTTGCAGTGGGAGTTAGTGCCTCTCTAACTGTACGTGTGGCATAATGGGGATGCAGTCTAGACTAGGTGCCGTTCTTAGTGTACCTCATGCATAATTATAACTCATCTGTCAGGGGAGGCCTGAGTGTTACTGTGATGCTCACCTGAGCTTCCAGACCTGGGTAGATTGAGAAGAAAAGACTGGTGATCTATTTATGAAAGTGAGTCAATGGAAGCTCTGTGGGTCCCTGTGTTCCATAATAACCAGCCCCGGGGACAGCGCAGGACCCAGCTGTGCTCCCTCCTCTCCTGCACAGTGGTCCCCATGAGGTGGGGGCTGACCCAGTGACAGCAAGGAGCAACCGTAGGATGTGCAGGGGACTTTTTTTAAGCTTTATGATCTTGCTTCATGTTATACAATAAGCTAACTTGAAATCTTGACAATGAGAGAATTCTGTCATTTTATTGCATTTTGTCACCTGGCCTGTCCGGTAGGGAGATGGTGGCTGTCATTGCAAGCTCCACGTCTGGGGTGATTCCTGTGACACATGCAAAGATGGATATTTTGCTTTGGAAAAGAGCAATTACTTTGGGTGTCAAGGTAAGTGTCTCTAATGGGACCTGTTGGTATAACTAGAGTGTTGGCAGCTAATGGCCCAGCCCAAATTTATTTTCTCTGTTTGCAGTCTTTGCCTAGACTTTCTGGTGGTATGGCACGGGAAAACTGTCCAGAGATTTGCACCATCATAGTTGAAACTAGTATATGAACTACTTAGACCTTCCTGCCATACTGTTGACTTTATGTTAAGTTGAGCCCTGGTGGCCTAGTGGTAAGAAGCTGTGCTGCAATCCCAAAGACACGTGGTTAGAGGCCACAGGGGAAGGATGGGCAATGTCTTCCTGTGCAGTTAACTGCCTCTGAAAACCCGCTGGAGGGTCAACTATGGGTTGGTTCTGACTTGATGGTGTGTTGTTGTTGTTAAGTGCCGTCGAGTCGCAGGTGACTCATAGCGACCCTATGAAGGAGAGTCCTTGACAAAGGTGACTTGATGGTACACAACAAAAAATGTGAATTGGAAATGGGAGGATAATCTGTTATTTCTTTAAGTTTTAGAAATAATAATTGTATTAAGCAATAAAAAGACAATTGCCCTACAATTTTGTTCTTCTATCTCTCATGGTTTTATGTGCAGTTATCTGTGGTTGTTTTTATGTGCCATCGAGTCACTTGCAACTCAGAGTGACCCTTTGTACAACAGCTCTGAATCCTGCTCTATCCTCTGCCAACCTTATTGTCTCTGATATACCTACTTCCATTCCTCCAGTCACTGAATCAATCCATCTCATCGAGGGTCTTCCTCTCTTGTGCTGTCCCTCCACCCTCCCAAGCATGATGTTACTCTACAAGGACTGTACATTCCTTGCAACATGCCCAAAGCATGTCAGACAAAGCTCCAGAATCCTTGCCTCCAAGAAGCAGCCTGGTTTCACCCTCTCTAGGATGAACTTGTTTGTTCCCCTAGCAGTCCATGGTATACCCAATATTCTTCTCCAGTACCACAGCTCAAAGGCATCAATTCTCCTTTGTATCATCTGCCTTTCTGACACATAGCAAATAATTGTGAAGACTATGGTCTGGATCAGGTGCACCTTAGTCTCCAGACTGATGTTATTGCTCTTCAGTATTCTGGAGAGATCCCTGACAGCAGACTTTCTCAATGCAATTCATCTTTTGATTTCCTGGCTTCTGGTACCAAGAGTGCTGATTGTGGAGCCAAGCAAACTAAAGCTGTTAACAGTCTCAATCTCTTCACTCTGTATCATGATGCTGCCAATTGGCCCAGAGGTGAGAAACTTTGTTTTCTTGATGTTGAGCTTCAATCCACATTGAAGGCTGCAGTCCTTGACCTTCTGCAGCAGATGCTTCAGGTTCTCCTCAGTTTCAGCAAGCAAGGTTGTATCATCTACATTATGCAGGTTGTTGATGAGTCTTTCTCCAATCCTGATGCCACATTCCTCCTCTTAGAGCCCAGCCTCCCAAATGATCTCTTCTGCATATATATTGAAAAGGATTGGCGATAGGACACATACCTGGTGTACACCCTTCCTGACTTCGAACTATGCAGTATTTCCTTGCTCTGTTCTGATGACTGCCTCCTGGACCAGTTTTAGGTTTCATGTAAGCACAATCAAATGTTCTGGGATTCTCTTTCTTTTCAGAGTCAGCCACAGTTTGCTGTGATCCACACAGTCAATGCCTTTGCATGGTCAATGAAATACAGATCTATGATGGTATGCATAGGAATCAGATCTATTACATCTGTGGAAAGACTCTCTGAAGAAGCTCAATATCAGCTGTGAAAACTAGGCCAAGTGCTGATTGTGGCACAATCCACCAACTACTCATATGCACGTTCAAGCTGAAGCTAAAGAAAATGAAATAAAGTCCACAGAGACCAAAATGGCCTTGAGTCAATCTCACTCAAATGTCAAAACCATCTCAGGAACAGGTTTGAGGCCTTGAACACCAATAAGTAAAGACCAGATGAGCTGTAGGAGGGGGTCAAGAATATCATCCATGAATAATGCAAAAGTTCATTACACGTCTCGTGAGTTACATAATTTTCTAACAGCACTGTACTTCTGCCAACTTTAGATTAGACACCAGGGCTATAGTGGGCTGTAATCGCACAGCTGCAGTTCACAAGTGGATTCGTGGAGAGCACTGTTTAGTTGTGAATTCCTTACTCCTGTCCGATAAATGATACAGGAGAAAGAAGACACGTGCCAGACCGGGATGATTGATCCTTGGTTGTCACAGCTCGTGGATGGAGGGTAAACACGCAGCGTGGAGATAATGCAGTAGGATTTGTGGTGTGGGCTGCTATGATACATCGTTACCAGAGGGCCCAACGATGAAAATAACAGGAATCTGTCCTCTCCTAGCTCCTGAGCATGGAGGTTGGAAATGAGGGTACTGGCAGGGCCGTGCTCCCACTGAGGCTTCCTCCTCTTTCCAGCTCCTGATAATCCCAAGCACGCCTGGCGAGTGGCGGCATCACTAGTCTGCTTCTGTCTTCACATGATCATCTTCCATCTGTGTTTCTCTGCATCTTTGTCTCTTCTTAAAGGGCCAGCAGTCACATTTGCTGTTCACCCTCCTCCAGTACAACCTTGCTGTTGTTGTTGTTAAGTGCTGTCTAGTTGCTTGCAACTCATAGCGACCCTATGTACAGCAGCCCTAAACTCTTCTCTGTCCTGTGCCAATTGCACTGTCTCCGGCACACTCATCCTGATTACCCCAGTCACTGAATCAATCCATCTCCCAGAGGGCCTTCCTCTCCTGCGCCTGCCCTCCACCCTCCCAAGCATGATGTCCCTCTCCAAGGACTGGTCCCTCATTACAACATGTCCAAAGTATGTTAGAGGAAGCCTCAGAATCCTTGCCTCCAAGGAGCCACCCGGTTTAACCCTCTCCAGGATGAATCTGTTTGTTTTCCTAGCAGTCCATGTTATATTCAATACTCTTCTTCAACACCACAGGTCAAAGGCATCAATTCTATCCTCCCTAGTAATTGTGCAACTCTCTGACACATAACAAGTGATTGCAAAGACCATGGCCTGTATCAGATGCACCTTAGTCTTATGTTAACTAATAATATCTGCTAAAATGTCATTTCCAAATTAGCTCACTTCCACAGATAGTGGGGAGCTCTGGTGATTTAGTGGTAAGGAGTTACGCTGGCAACCCAAAGGAACACGGTTTGAATTCACCAGCGGCTCCACAGGAGAAAGATGGGCAGTCTCCTCCCAGGTGATTTACAGCCTCTGCGAACCACTGGAGGACCAGCTCTGAGTCAGTTCTGACTCAGTGGTACACAGCAACAACATAACCACGGACAGTGGAGCTAGGTCTTGAATGTTGCAGTCTGGGGACCCGTAATAGATACGTGACTGGTGACTGCCATTATCTTCTGCCTTCCAGGGTGTCAGTGTGACGTTGGCGGTGCTCTGAGCCCCATGTGCAGTGGGCCCTCCGGAGCGTGCCAGTGCCGAGAGCACGTGGTGGGGAAGACGTGCCAGCGGTGAGTCTTCAGGGACGTTTCTTCTCAGCTTCTAGTCACTGTTGTGGAAAACAGTCTCGGCTGTTCTTAGCTATGCTGTCTTTACAAGATAAAGGGCAGAGAAAACTGTGCTAGAATTTGAAATCTGGAGACTCATCTCCAAGTCTAATGAAAGCATGAGTCAGCATTGCCCTTAAAACAAAACCAATTTCATGCTACAGAAGGACTTCCCCTGACGGGTCTCACAGGTACAAAAGGCCAGGTGGGTGACATGGGATGTGGAAGTGTTAGGATAGGTTCCCATGGCAGAAGGAACTTCCAGGTAGGAATGAGAGCACAGGAGGGCAGAGGGGATGAGTCCAAGTAAGATGAAGTTGTTGTGGACATCGTGATAAGTGGAGAAAAGATTGAAATTGTCAATGACTTTCTCTTACTTGGATCCACCATCAATCAATCCCCTTGGTACCAGCACTCAGGAGATCAGGAGACATATTGCACTGGGAAAGTCTGCAGTCAGAGACCTCTCCAAATTACCAAGGAACAATGATGTCAGTTTGAGGACCAAAGTGTGCCTGATTCAGTCCATAGTCCTTCAATCATTTGCTGTTTCTGAGAGCTGGACAATGATTAAAGATGACAGAAGAAGAATTGATGCATTTGAACTGTGGGACTGGAGAAGAGTACTGAATATCCCATAGACTACCAAAAGAGCAAACAGATATGTCTTTAAAAAGTGCAGCCAGAGTGCTCCTTGGAGGCAAAGATGGCAAAGCTTTGTATCACATACTTTGGGCATGTTGTTAGGAGAGGTTGTTCCTTGGAAAGGGACATCATGCTTGCAGAGATGGAGGGTTGGCAAAAGAGAGGAAGACCCTCAACCAGATAGAATGACACAGTGGCTGCTGCAGTGGGCTCAAGTATGTCAGAAATGATGAGGATGGCACAGGATAGGATAGGGTTCGGATCTGTGGTTCGTAGGGCCTCTGAGTTGTACTCGACTCAGTGACACCTAACAACAACAACAATTGTCATTGGGTCCATAATAGAAGATATGGGAAGAGGACAATTTCTATAGACTTGTGCTAAATGACTTTCACATCTTATTTCTTGGAATAAGTAGATAAGTAGAGGTTTTATGCTTTTAAGCTTTTTGTTGTGGTTTGAGTGAGAGAGACTGATTTCCATTCAGTCATTCGTGTTGTTTCATGACACTGATTACAGTGCCTGTATTGTAACTGCATTCTTCCTGGCTCCTCTCTGTGACTCTCATGTCCATTCTGTCCTATCCCTTTCTGCCTTCTGTGAGCTATCCCTGTGCAAAGGTGGCAACCCTGTGGATCTCATATGGTTGATTGTCCCAAGGACTGAGAACCCCCTTCATGTTGCTGTTCACTTTGTATAGGCTTGCATATTGTTTGGCTGAAAGTTGAGCTATGGGAGTGAGTTAGATTCCAGACTTGAAAGATGATGAAGGGTCATAGTCTTAAGAATTCCACCAGTTTCTATCATTGCTAACACTGATAATGTTCATATTTTTTGAGTTTTCTTCTATATGCTTCTGGTAGCCTGCCCAAGCCTCTTAGTTGTGACTCCTTTCAGAGTGGTGGGCAGTGGTAGCCGGGCACCATCTAGTTCTTCTGGTCTCAGTGTCATGGAGGTTGATATATGTGAGGTCCATACATCTTTGATTTTATTCACTCTTCCTTGCTCAGACAAGGAAAGACCAACAGTTGCACCTTAGATTGGTGCTTCCAAGCATGTAAGATCCCTGGTTCCTACTCACTAATAAGATATACCATATTGTGTTGTGGACTGTGTTATGTCAATTGATTTTGATGTCCCCTGAGACCCAGCAACTCACATCATCAGGGTACTAGGTTATGACTTCGAAGTGTACATATCTTTGCCCTGCTAGGCTGTATATATTCATGGGTATACTTGCAGCACATATACATGTGTATGCAGAAATGTCATCTGATAAGCCTGTGTGGAGATGTAGTCACTTTCACCTGCCCATACCCATTCATCTTGCCTGTCTGCCTATGTATCTACTTATAGAATGGTGTTTGCTGTTATTGATAAGGTGGGATTATGTAAGTAATAGTATCTACATTTGTTGTCTGTAACTCCTGTGCACCTCCCAGTGTCTTCCTTTTCTTTAGAGATATTGTGCTGCTGAGTCTGTGTTCTGTGATTGTTTGCACTGAGTGAAAACTATAATCCAGGGAAACAGCCGGGGAGCCTCTCTCATTCATCTGGATCGAATGCATTCTGCCAGCGATGGGCAGGTGTTTCAGCAGTAGCTGGAGGGATTAGGGAGTCCTAGTGTGTTGCCAGTTGATGTGCTTGGTTTGGCTGCTGACTGGAAAGGTTGGAGGTTTGGGTCTATCCAGAAGATCTTCAGGAAGCCTGAAGCTCTGCATCAGAAAAATGAGCCAGGAAAACCCGGTGGAGCACAGTTCTTTTCTGGTAGAAATGAAAAAAGGGGCGGGGGGGGGAAAGAAAAAGGAAAAAAAAAAGGACTAAGAGTTTTCAGATCTAAGGAATTTCACATCATTTTTGTTGTTCATTAAAGACCTGAAACCAATTACTATTTCCCGGATTTGCATCATATGAAGTATGAGATAGAAGATGGCACTACACCTAATGGAAATGACGTTCGCTTTGGATTCGATCCCCTGGAATTCCCTGGGTTTAGCTGGAGAGGATATGCCCAGATGACCACAGCTCAGGTATGGGGGTATGTGGACCTGGGGAGCAGCTTCATGGGGGGGGTCGTCCGTTTCCATCCCAACAACCCTAGCAATGACCTCCCAAAGAGACAGAGCATCCCTAGTGGGTCCCAGGGTTCTCTCTCTTCATGATGCGGGCTGGGGTTGGAGTTGGAGTGCTGTATTGTTGTTGTTGTTGTTATGTGCTGTCGAGTCGCTTGCGACTCATAGCGACCCTATGTACAACAGCCCTAAACTCTCCTCTGTCCTGTGCCAATCCTACTGTCTCTGATACACTCATCCCAATTACCCCAGTCACTGAATCAGTCTACCTCATAGAAGGTCTTCCCCTCCTGTGCTGTCCCTCCACTCTACCAAGCATGATGTCCCTTTCCAAGGACCGGTCCCTCCTTACAACATGTCCAAAGTATGTCAGACGAAGCCCCAGAATCCTTGCCTCAAAGGAGCTGCCCGGT